AAAAAAAAAAAAAAAAAAGAGACAGGTGTTTATGGCAGCTCTAATAAGGACTTACTTTTTCTCTCTGAGCTGTCGAAGTCGATGAAACACGTTGATAACATCTCTTATTCGTCTTGGAGCTTCTTCTATTTTGGAGGCCAGGTGAACACAGGCCATTGACACATGCTGAAATACAAGCATCACAACAAATGATGGTTGCTCAGATCCTGACTGCCCCCAAAGCTTTAAGGGCTATTACAAACAAAGGGGATCCCACATAAAAGGATATAGCACACCTCCTGGCTGATGGATTTTTCCTAACAATCTCAAAAAATGTAACCTAATCATTTGTACCCTTATATTAGTCTGCAATTAAACACATGCACACAAAATTTACAAAACATAAAAATGGCCGGCAGCACCTGTGGCTCAAAGGAGTAGGGTGTTGGCCCCATATACTGGAGGTGGCGGGTTCAAACACGGCCTTGGCGAAAAACTTCAAATAAATAAATAGGCGAAAAACGTCAAATAAATAAATAAATACATAAGACAAAGGGGAAGCCAGTGGTGTGGCTCATGCCTGTAATCCTAGCATTCCGGGAGGCTGAAGCAGGAGGATCTCTTGAGCCCAAGAGTTTGAGGTTGCTGTGAGCTACGACTCAACAGCACACTGCCCAGGGCGATAGATGGGCTTCCCAGACCCTCCAAAGAGATCAGACTAGAGACAGGTCCTCTGAGCAACTGTGTACCCAGTTGCAAAAACAACAAAGCCAGGTTTCCTCTCAGTACACAGGAGAGCTGACTGCCTCCCTGCACTGTCCAACTCCTTAAGTTGACCTGATTTTCACAGGCCGACTCACATCATATGTACTATTAGTGCAGTGGGTAGTTCCTCATGGCAACCACCTCTGTGCAATGACCAGCCTGTTACAGTTGCTTGGGTAGTCAACTCTCAGAAGTTCTGCTGTATTTCCTTAGGAAAGAACCCCATCAGGAAGCTCTTACCTCCATAGAATGCTTCACAAAGGACTTAGTATAAAAGAACCGCTGGAACAGCACCTGCCCGGTAGCCATGGCCACCTAGAGAAGAGAAAAGTTCGCATCATTTTGAGTCTTCATCATTCTTGGCATTTAGAAATCGGCGGGTTCCCTGAGCCTCCCACACAGACAAACACTGAAATGTTTTCCACGTCCACAGGCCTCTTCGAGACTCCCTGCCTTGAGGCCCTGCCCGCTGGCAGGCGGGACGGCGGGGGATCTGGGCCGGGCTCGGGTGGAAGGTCAAGGCCAGGGTGGGAGTTAAGCTGGGGGTCGGGGTCAAGGTAGTGCCAGAGGCCGTGGTCTGGGTGGTGCGGACCGGCCCTGGCGGTAACAAAAGGCCCGCCGCCGCCCGCCGCCGGCGCGGCGGTTACTGAGGCTGCGGCTCGCGGCTGCGCCTAACCTGCGGCAGGCGGAGAAGGATGCCGGCCGCCTGGATGAGCTCGCAGCCCACCACGCGGAGGTCGGTCTCCGTGTGTGTGTCCAGGCCGCTCGACATGGACGGCGTGAAGCGGAGCTTGTCGTCAGGCAGCAGGCAGTTCTCCAAGGTGATGAGCACTCCGGAGTACAGCCTGTCCCCGATCAGCACCCCCTGCAACCCCGGAGCCGCGCTCCCCGAGCCCGGGGCGCCGGCCACTGCCGCGGGGGCCGCCGACCCCGGAGCCCCGGTCGCCGCCGCCGCCGCCATTTTGTGCTTCCGAGTCCCCTTCGGCTCCTTCCCGCAGGGCGGCTCCTCGCGGTGCCCCGTGACCGCCCCGCCCCCTCACATCATTGGTTATACCTGTGGGCGGTCCCCGTCATCTTGCCGCTATTGGCTTTGCCACCTGCCCATCACCGATGCGCTCGACGCTGACGCTGGAACCCAGCAAGCTCAGCGCCCAGGTCCGACCCGGAAGTGCGCCTGCAACCAGCGGGTGGCGGGAGCTCGTGTAGCAGAATTTTGCGGAGGGCGAAGCGCCCTTTCACCTGCTATTCCCCAGCGCGGGGTAGGGCTCCTCTGGCCTGGCCCTGAAAGGTGGTCAGAGCTGTGTGTGGGACGACGCTCTGGCTAATTGCTCCGCAACTCTGAGCTTGGAGATGCGCATTAACTCCCACAAGCTCTTGCCTTCACATGTCAGCCCGCAGGGAAGAGAAATGGGCCAAGGGTTCTGTGTTCCTCCAGAGCCCGGCAGCGCGCGGAAAGGCCGAAGTCCCTCAAGGTTCAGACCCGGGGCGCTGCGTGGGAAGAGGCTTGATAGAGCCCTACAAACAGCAGAGAGCCAGCGAAGGGGGGTTGTGCGTTTGTGAACGTCTCTGGACTTAATGACCCTTCATCTGGGCAATCGTTGCCCATGCTGGTCATAGGCGCTCGATTCCTACATCATCCGGAGCAGCCGCAGGACTCATCTGTCGCTGCACTTACCCCCCACTTTGAGCAGGGCTGGCACAGGCCCCAGGTGAAGATGATGGGGAAGCCCACCGGAGCAGGCTTAGACACTCCGAGCTGCCCCAGAATACCCAGCTCAAACCGCTCAAATCCAGAGGCGGGGTGGCTTTCACCCGGAATACAGCTTTGAGATCAAGCGGTGCCAACTGAAATGCAGTCTCTCCTCCCTACTTCACCTGCCATAGGCAGCAAGGCCTCTCATTAAGCCCGGGCTGGCAACTCCAGGACGTTCCTTCTGTGAGCTACAGCTGCACTCTCCAGGAAAGAATCTCCTCTGGAAACCACACGACTAGTTCCTCAGTGGCTCTGCCAGGACTGCCTGCCCATCTCCAGAGGCATTGGACGTGGTGATACCTCTGGCCAGTGAGGGCCAGGTCCTGTAGCTGAGTGTGGGCTCTGGTACTCCAGCCCATGACAAGAAACCAAGCTGGGGCTGGGTGAGTATTGCTGGGAACAAAGTCCCAGCTGTCAGCCACACCCCTCTTCCTTTACTGAAAGGAGATGGAGAAGTCAGCTTCACCATAGCAAGACACTGTGCACAGGCACAGGCCCCATACATCAGGCGTCTTGTCTTGCACCCCAGTCTTTCAGTAGCTGTCCACAGTTGACACCCATTAAGAGCACCCTGTGCAGTCAGGCACTGCTGCACAAAAGAGACCAGGGGAGGGTGAGATGAAAAGAGAGGGGTACTTGGGTAGGTTAGGAACTGTGGAGCTGGATGCTGGTGATACAGTCCTAGAGGGTCAGAAGCCTGGGGCAAACCCCCCAATTTGCAGAAAGGAGCAGGCTCAGGCATATCCTACAGCCAGAGACCCCTCACTCCAGCAGCCTCTCACAGCACATGCAGCTGTTGGTGATAGGCACAAAAGCACCTCAGAGGCAGAGCACACCCCAATGTGTGTTTGCTTGATACAAGAAAACTCACAAAGCCAAATACTCCGCAAGCTTTATTGACACAATCTACTCCAGACAGTTCTGTGAATCTGTCCCACTGAGAAGTCTTCTCATGCCTCTTACTAAAATATAAACACAATTCAAATCAAACTTGTGAACTGCTGATTAAATAATTCTTTGCTCTTATTTTTGTTGAATATGTCAGGAGAGGAAGCCTCCTGATATGCATAGCTGCAGTCCTCAGTGGTACTGCACCACTCTGGAAAAGATGCCTTCAGGCTCCTTCCCATCCCCCAAGGCAGCAGCAAATCCCTCCTGTCGCCTCCTTTTGGCCAAAGCAGCCAAAGATTTAAAAGTCTTTGGTTCATAGATGGCCAGATCTGCAAGCACCTTCCTGTTGAGCTCCACCTGGCACTGGGGAAACAAGACATATCAGAGCCTATGGTCAGCATCACAAATGCACTTTGGGAACCACCTACGTAGGGCAGGTGAAGAAGGATGCAGTTGTGCATGGTAGCTCCTGCCTGTAATCCCTGCACTTTGAGAAGCCAAGGCAGGTGGACTGCTTGAGGCCAGAAGTTTGATACCAGCCTGGGCAACATTAAGACAACCCTATTTCAATATAATTAGCTGAGGGGTGTAGCCTGTGGCTCAAAGGAGGAGGGCGCTGGCCCCATGTGCCGGACGTGGTGGGTTTAAATCCAGCCCTGGCCAAAAACTACAAAAAAAAAAAAAAAAAAAAAAAATTAGCTGAGGCAGAAAACAACTTGAGCCCAGATGTCTGAGGTTGCACTGAGCCATGATGATGCCACTGCACTCTAGCCTGGGCAACGGAGTGAGCCCCTGTCTTTTTTTTTTTTTTTTTTTTTTTAGACAGAGCCTCAAGCTGTCCCCCT